CTAAAGGACAGAACGATATAGAGGAAGGTGCTGTCTCCGTCACTCAGCAGGTCTGGGGGGGGGAACGTCGAGGGGAACTAGAAGCGCGCGCACCGCGTACGGCCTTGCCAGTCTGTGCTTGCGGTGCTTGCCACGCGCTTCTAGTTCCCCTCGACGTTCCCCCCAGACCTGCTGAGTGACGGAGACAGCACCTTCCTCTATATCGTTCTGTCCTTTAGAAGACGCGGACAACTCCACTCACAGAACGCTGGGTCTATATATATATATATGTCTATGGTCGACACTGTGTCGACAGTCCTGCGATGGTCAATTGTTTCGTGGCCGGGATACAGACAACACGTGGCGACTAACGTATAAAACCTAACCTGCCTACTCAGGCTGGTCGTATTATTATTTGGTTAAAAGCAGCAATTTGTTAGATAATATTTTATCGAGACACGGTGAAGAGTAAACATGTTTCTTATACAGTGTGAAGACGACAGTTCTTATTGTATAGTAGACAATCATGACGTAATTTGTGATGAAAATATAATAGAAAATGGTGACACTGTGACTTTTTTTTGGAATAAAAAAAAGTTTTCTGGAAACATAATTATGCGTTCAGGTAAAATAAATATTAATAACATTAATCTATAATTAGATTTTATCATTTCAGAGATATGCTTATACATATAAATATGTTCGTATATTTTAGAGAATGTTGAATTATTAAACAAAGAAATCCGCAAACTGAAGAAAACTGATATGTGTAAAAAGAAACGTTTAACATTGCATAATGTAGTCGCTTCTGGTAAAAGAAAAACTGTACTGAATAAGACATGCATGTCACTCGATCGACCAAGTACTTCATCTACTAAAAAGATGAAATTGGACAACATTTCTGAAAAGGTAATAATTTCTTTACGATATAATAATAAATTGTTACGCCCGCGTTGAGCCACCGTTGCGAGCTGAGTCCAGTAGTTTCATTTCGTAGTCACTTTACACGACGACTGGACTTTACTTGCAACGGTAGCTCAAAGCTCGAGCGTAACACATATACTATATGTTAATTACTGAAAGATACATATATTGGAACACAGAAACTATGGAATTTTTATATACATTTCTTTTTTTATCAATTATCACAACATGAGTAACAGTACATCAAAATAAAATGTGTAAAATTGATATCTTTCCAGAATAAATATGTATTTCTTAGTCCTTAATATATTATATTATAATATAAACATGAGATTATTAATGCTGTCTATAATTAAAGAATAATCATAATAATTTTTCAGAAAAAAAACATTACGAAAGAATAAAAATAACAAGAGTATAAAATATGAGTTAAGTGCAGATACAGAATCTGATACATCTGATACATCTGAAGAAGATAAAGAAAATGTAAATATAAATATGTTTTTTATATATATATAATATACAGATTTTTGTATATATTATATGTATTAACAAAAACTGACTATAATACTTATTTTCAGGAACTTAATGTTTTATTTAACAATGATAAAGGTGTTAAAAATAATATTGAACAACGTGACATTACTAATTGTAGTCCTACAAAAGAGGAATTACAGGAAATTGCAGTGAAATATTATGAACTACTAAAAAAACAATCTACTACAAATTTTAACACTTCATCTATTGATGCAATGAAGGATAATTGTCAGTTATCCGAAAATAAAGAAGATTTAAAAGATGAAAATGATGAAGAAAAACTTTCAGTGATTGATTCATATCTTTCTGATAACAACGAAGTTTTTGAAGATCC